CCAAAACCAGCACAGTCCCCCCAGAATGAGCTGGGACCACCGGAAAATGGCTCAGCCCTCCCCAAAATGAGCTGGGATCACTGGAAACTGGCTCAGCTCACCCCCAGAACCAGCACAGTCCCCCCAGAATGAGCTAGGACCACCGGAAACCAGCACAGCCCACCCCAAAATGAACTGGAACCACTGGAGACCAGCTCAGCCCTTCACAAGCCCCCCCAAAACCGGCACAGCCCTCCCCAAAATGAGCTGGGACCACCGGAAAATGGCTCAGCCCTCTCTTGCCTCCCCATACAAGCTCAGCCCTTCCCAGAATGAGCTGGGAATGCTGGAAACCAGCTCAGCCCTCCCCAAAATGAGCTGGGACCACCGGAAAATGGCTCAGCCCTCTCTTGCCTCCCCATACAAGCTCAGCCCTTCCCAGAATGAGCTGGGAATGCTGGAAACCAGCTCAGCCCTCCCCAAAATGAGGTGGGACCACTGGAAACTGGCTCAGCTCCCTCCAGCTCCCCGAAACCAGCACAGCCATCCCCAAAATGAGGTGGGACCACTGGAAAGTGGCTCAGCCCTTCACAAGCCTCCCCAAACCATTACAGTCCCCCCAGAATGAGCCAGGACCACCGGAAACCAGCACAGCCCTCCCCAAAATGAGCTGGGACCACTGGAAACTGGCTCAGCCCTCTCCTGCCTCCCCAAACCAACTCAGCCCTCCCCAGAATGAGCTGGGAATGCTGGAAATTGGCTCAAGCCCTCTCCAATCCCCCCAAACCAGCACAGTCCTCCCCAGAATGAGCCAGGACCACCGGAAACAAGCACAACCCTCCCCAAAATGAGGTGGAACCACTGGAAACTGGCTCAGCTCCCTCCAGCTCCCCGAAACCAGCACAGCCATCCCCAAAATGAGCTGGGACCACTGGAAATTGGCTCAGCCCTCTCCAAGCCCCCCAAACCAGCACAGTCCTCCCCAGAATGAGCCAGGACCACCGGAAACCAGCACAGCCCTCCCCAAAATGAACTGGAACCACTGGACACTGGCTCAGTCCTCTCCTGCCTCCCCAAACCAACTCAGCCCTCCCCAGAATGAGCTGGGAATGCTGGAAACCAGCTCAGCCCTCCCCAAAATGAACTGGGACCACTGGAAATTGGCTCCCCCCCAGAATGAGCTGGGACCACTGGAAACCACCACAGCCCCCCCAAAATGAACTGGAACCACTGGAAACTGGCTCAGATCCCTCCAGCTCCCTGAAACCAGCACAGCCATCCCCAAAATGAGCTGGGACCACTGGAAATTGGCTCAAGCCCTCTCCAATCCCCCCAAACCAGCACAGTCCCCCCAGAATGAGCCAGAACCACCGGAAACAAGCACAACCCTCCCCCAAATGAGGTGGAACCACTGGAGACCAGCTCAGCCCTTCACAAGCCCCCCCAAAACCGGCACAGCCCTCCCCAAAATGAGCTGGGATCACTGGAAACTGGCTCAGCTCCCCGAAACCAGCACAGCCCTCCCCAAAATGAGCTGGGACCATTGGAAATTGGCTCAGCCCTCTCCACCCCCCCCAAACCAGCACAGTCCCCCCAGAATGAGCTGGGACCACTGGAAACCACCACAGCCCCCCCAAAATGAACTGGAACCACTGGAAACTGGCTCAGCCCTTCACAAGCCTCCCCAAACCATTACAGTCCCCCCAGAATGAGCTGGGACCACTGGAACCCACCACAGCCCCCCCAAAATGAACTGGAACCACTGGAAACTGGCTCAGCCCTTCACAAGCCTCCCCAAACCATTACAGTCCCCCCAGAATGAGCTGGGACCACTGGAACCCACCACAGCCCCCCCAAAATGAACTGGAACCACTGGAAACTGGCTCAGCCCTTCACAAGCCTCCCCAAACCATTACAGTCCCCCCAGAATGAGCTGGGACCACTGGAACCCACCACAGCCCCCCCAAAATGAACTGGAACCACTGGAAACTGGCTCAGCCCTTCACAAGCCTCCCCAAACCATTACAGTCCCCCCAGAATGAGCTGGGACCACTGGAACCCACCACAGCCCCCCCAAAATGAACTGGAACCACTGGAAACTGGCTCAGCCCTTCACAAGCCTCCCCAAACCATTACAGTCCCCCCAGAATGAGCTGGGACCACTGGAAATTGGCTCAGCCCTCTCCAACTCCCCAAAACCAGCACAGCCATCCCCAAAATGAACTGGAACCACTGGAAACTGGCTCAGCCCTTCACAAGCCCCCCCCCAGAACCAGCACAGTCCCCCCAGAATGAGCTGGGACCACCGGAAAATGGCTCAGCTCTCTCCTGCCTCCCCAAACCAACTCAGCCCTCCCCAGAATGAGCTGGGAATGCTGGAAACCGGCTCAGCCCTTCACAAGGCCCCCCAAAACCAGCACAGTCCCCCCAAAATGAGCTGGGACCACTGGAAACTGGCTCAGCCCTCTCCTGCCTCCCCCAAAACCAGTCCCCCCGAAGACAGCCCAGCCCTTGGGACCCTTGCAGAGGCCACCAGACTGTGTCCCATGGGGGCGGCAGGTGGCACCAGGGGTCCGTGTGTCCTCTCCCTCACCCTCTGTCCTTGGCAGGACGAGAGGAACCAGGTCCTGACCTCCTACCTGTGGCTCCGCCAGGCCTGGCTGGACGCCCACCTCACCTGGGACAAGGACACCTACGATGGCATCGACAGCATCCGCATCCCCAGCAGCTACGTCTGGCGGCCGGACATCATCCTCTACAACAAGTGGGTTCTTCTCGGCCTCCCCGACCCCAACCCTGGTGGCTCCCTGGACCTGAGGGGGTCCTGGTCAGGGGGTGATATGGAGAAGATGGTCACCCCAATTGGGTGACAATGTTGGGCAGGAAGAGTTGGCACCAACCTGGCACCCACCTGCTGGTTGGGACGTGCCACCATGGGGGCAACCATGGGCACCGAACCCCCTCTTCCTGGAGCAGGGTGATATGGGGAGGGGACACAGGGTTGGGGACAGACCTTCACCCCACATGGGGCTCGAGGCCACCCCAACCCCACGGTGGTCCCTCCCCCAGTGCTGACGACCGCTTTGGTGGCTCCATGGAGACCAACGTGGTTCTGCGCTCGGACGGGCACATCACGTGGGACTCGCCCGCCATCACCAAGAGCTCCTGCAAGGTGGATGTCTCCTACTTCCCCTTCGACGGGCAGCGCTGCCGCCTCACCTTCGGCTCCTGGACCTACAACGGGAACCAGATCGACCTCCGCAACCGGATGGACACGGGGGACCTGACTGACTTCGTGGAGAACGTGGAGTGGGAGGTGCTGGGCATGCCGGCCACGAGGAACGTCATCACCTACGGCTGCTGCTCCGAACCCTACCCTGACGTCACCTACACCCTGCTCCTCCGCCGCCGCGCCTCCTTCTACATCTTCAACCTCCTCCTGCCCTGCATCATGGTCTCCTTCCTGGCCCCCCTGGGCTTCTACCTGCCGGCTGACTCGGGGGAGAAGGTCTCACTGGGGGTAACGGTGCTGCTGGCCCTCACCGTCTTCCAGCTGCTGGTGGCGGAGAGCATGCCACCCTCGGAGAGCGTCCCGCTCATCGGTGAGCCTTGATGGTGCCCAGGACCCTCCCATGGGACCAGGGTGGTGGGCAGCACCCATGCCAAGGGGAATGTGGTGTGGGGAGGTGGGTATGGGTCTCTCCCCACCTCCACCACATCTTCCCACCTGTTATCCCTGCAGGGAAGTACTACATCGCCACCATGACCATGATCACGGCCTCCACCGCCCTGACCATCTTCATCATGAACGTCCACCACTGTGGGCCAGGGGCCCGACCTGTGCCCCCCTGGGCCCGGTGGCTCATCCTCCACCACATGGCCCGGCTCTGCTGCGTCTACGAGGTGGGCGAGAGCTGCAAGAGCCCCCGGCGGGTGCCAGGTGGGCGGGTGAGCAAGGGGGACGCTGGAGGTCCAGGGGAGAGCCCCACGGAAGGGGAGATGGGTGCTGAGGCAGGGGGTTGCCCCCGGGACCGCTGCGTGTGCCACCATGATGGCCTGCTGAGGAACGTGGGCTACATCGCTGGCTGCTTCCGGCGCCACCGAGCTTCCCAGCGCCGGACCGGCGAGTGGAAGAAGGTGGCCAAGGTGATGGACCGCTTCTTCATGTGGGTCTTCTTCCTCATGGTCTTCCTCATGAGCGTGCTGGTCCTGGGCAAAGCTGCCTGATGGTCCCATGGACCCACTGCCACCAGGGTCAGTGGTAGCCATGAGGGTGGCTTGTCCTGAGCACCCCCTGACCCACCACGGACCTGCAGGGTGGAAGCTCCACCAGCACCAGCGAAGAGGAGACCAACAGTGGGACCCCAACCCTGCCAGGGCTGCCCTGGCTGAGGGGTCCTGGCCCCCCAAGTAGTTGTCCAGGTTGTGACAAAGAGAGATAAAGAATCATAGAATGCTTTGGGTGGGAAGGAACTTTGATGACCACCCAGTCCCACCCCCTGCCCTGGGCAGGGACAACTCCCACCACACCAGGTTGCTCCAAGCCCCCTCCAACCTGCCCTTGAACCCCTCCAGGGATGGGGCAGCCACAGCTTCTCGGGGCAACCTGGGCCAGGCTCTCACCACCCTCCCACCAAACAAGTTCTTCCCCACATCTCAGCTCCATCTCCCCTCTTCCAGGGTCAAACCCTTCCCCCTCCTCCTAGGGCTCCCCTCCCTCATCCAGAGTCCCTCACCACCTTTCCTGAAGCCCCCCCTTTTAGGGACTGGAAGGGGCTCCAAGGTCTCCCTGGAGCCTTCTCTTCTCCAGGCTGAACCCCCCCAACTCTCTCAGCCCCCCCTCCCAGCAGAGGGGCTCCAGCCCTCCCAGCATCTCCATGGCCTCCTCTGGATCCTTTCCATAGATATATATATTTATACAGGCACATACACCCCCCATGTGGGCACCACTGGTGGGCAGGGTCCTTGTCCCTGAGCCCTCCCAGTCCTCGATGACCGGTGCATCTCGGGGGTCTCGCATCACCCCAAAACCATCCATGACAACCTGCAGTCCCCCAACCTCTGACCACTGCTCCCTGGGGTGCTGACCACCTTCTGCCCCCTCTTGCATCCCCACCAGTGCCTGCTGCCCTTCTCAGCCAGGGGTTGGATGCACTGCAGCCCCTGAGATGCTGCTCCAGCGTCTGGTGGCCCAGGTGAAGGTCCTGAGGGAGTGGGGAAGCCCCATCCCCATCCCCTCTGGGTGCTGGTTGGGGCCAGGGTGATGCCCGGGAGGGATGGAGGGGTTTGGACCTCAACACCTTCAGTGACAAAGAGTGGGGCTCATGGTGGGACTGGACATGGGGTCCAGGGGGAGCCCTGGGGCTGCTGCCCACCCCGGGCAGGGAAGATCAGTCCCAGAGTCCACCATAACACCCACGGGGGGCCGTGGGGACAGCACTTCCCCAGAGAAGGGACCCCTCTGAAGTTACCCCTCGAGGCTGAGAGGCACCAAACCTGGCACCAACGGGTCGGTACGTGATGTCTTCTACATGGAACTTTTAAGATACATATAGGAAGCCGACGGGATGACAACTTTGTGTGTCCCCCCACCAACTCCACGGGCAGTAAATGGTGGAGCATCCCCGGCTGTGTCCACGGAACATTTGACACCCCTGCGTTGAACCAATCAGCCCTCAATAAAATAACGACTCCATCAGCTTTGGCTGAGTCACCTCTGGCTCTTCTCCAGTGACAACGATGGTGGCTTGGCCATGTTCACCCTGCCCTGTGTCTCTGGGAGGGGGGAGCTGGATCCCTCACCCCCATCACCCCCCCCACGCCCCATGGACTGGCCACTGGAGGTATTGGGGCTTGTGCCCATCGGAGTGGGGTCCCTCCCTGGGAGAAGGGTCCCATCAGTCGGCAGGGAGGGGGACAGTGGCCAAACACGGGATTGTCAGAGTTGGAAGGGACCTTCTAGAGATCATCCAGTCCAACTCCCCTGGCAAAGAGTGTTGCCCAGAGCATCCAGGCGGGGCTTGAAGATCTCCAGAGAAGGGGACTCCACACCCTCCCTGGGCAGCCTCTTCCAGGGCTCTGCCACCCTCACCCCAAAGAAGTTCTTCCTCACATTGGAGTGGAACTTCCCATGGTCCAGCTTGTGCCCGGTGCCCCTCGTCCTGTCACTGGGAACCACTGAAAAGAGTCTGGCTCCATCCTCCTTCAACCCACCCTTTAGATCCTTGGAAGCATTAATAAGGTCTCCCCTCAGCCTTCTCTTCTCCAGACTAAAGAGCCTGGGATTCATGAGGGACAGCTTTAGCAGTGAAGATGGAAGCAAAGAAGGCATTCAATAACTCCTCCTTCTCCATGTCTTCCACCACTAGGGCGCCCACCTCTTTCATCAGTGGGCCTACATTTTCCCTAGTCTTCCTTTTTCAATTGATAACACGGTGTGGGGGTGGGGACACCCACGGGTGATGGTGGGGCCGGGGTGGGATGTGGGGGACACAGAGGGTCCTCAGGCTGCTCATGCCTATTGGGAGAGGGGTCATCCCAGGGTGAGGGGTCCCATCAGCCAGCAGGGAGGGGGACCTCCTGCCCCCATGACCCCAAGGACCAGCCCCTGGAGGTTCTGGGGCTTGTGCCCCTTGGGACCGGGGTCCCCTATCCTGGGGGGGGGGTGGGGAGGGGGGCAGTGGCCAAAAACA